GCTGGTCCATCCAAATCTTGGGTCTCTAGGCGCCTCCCTTGGCCCTGCCTTGTAGGCGTGACAGTTGCCGAAGCCTCAGTGGGGGTTGGAATTTCCAGATCAAAGCTGGAATGGCTACCCACTACAGGGCCCCATGACTGCTCCCTGCACGATTAACTATAGACAGTCAGTCTGTCCAGGCGCAGCATAGGAAACCTCAGTCACTGTGAGGTCATTTGCTTTTGAAATGGCTGTGCATGGCCTGAGGATAGCTTTCCACATTCGTTCTTTCTGACTTCTGGTGCTTACATTCTATCTTCCCTGGGCCTCAAAGGGAAGTGTATAAATGTCCCCTTCAGATATGAACATTCAATCATCATATATTCACCATTTCACTAGAAAGACAATGATCTCTGATTAAAATTGAGAGTATCATTTGTCTATGGGCACAAATGTCATTATTTGAAGGCAGTTTGGCACCATGTCAATTTATCTAAACAATAGGATTAAATTCCCCACTAGGACCTATAACGCTCCTATCTGTGGGTTTTTGCCTAGATTCTGAATCAGACACACATTCCCTCCTGTAGAGCAGGTCTCAAATCCAATCCAGGAACAGTTGGTTACCCCCATGCCAGTCGTTCCAAGATTGCTCCAGTGGATATCTCAGTCAGAACTATTATTATCAAAAAATATGAAATGGGAGAAGATAGAATTCTTATTCATTATTAGTGGAAGGGTAGACTAATGTAGCCACTGTGGAAATCAATGGGAATGTTACACAAAAATATAGAAACAAAACTGCCACGTGGTCTGGCAGTACTAGTTCTTGGAAAACACCCCAAAGACTATATCTGACTATAGAGATACAAGTACATCTATGATCAATGCTTTTCTATTTATAGTAGTTAAGGAATAGAAACAACCAAGTGTTTATAAACAGAAATATCAATTTTGAGAATGTGGTAAATATACACAATGAAATTTTATTTAGCTGTAAAGAAAACATGAAATTTGCACGTAAATGGATGAAATTGAAATTTGGCCCAGACAGACAAAGACAACATGCTGTCTTTCATATATAGAGTCTTGCTTTGAATCTTTAGATTTGTATGTTTATCATGGAGGACATATGGGTGGAAGTCTGGAGATTAGAAAGTGGCCATGAAGGGGAGATGCTTAATGGACAGAGGGGTGGTAGTGGTAGATCACAGGTGACACCAAAGTACAGAGGGGAAGGCTGGATGTGCAAAGTTTTGAACAAAAATGGAGAGAGAGAATGGGAGTCAACAAAGCCGGGATGGAGAGCTAACCAAAACAAGAGGTTTAACCCAACCAGAAAATAAAAGGTAAATGAAATAGGTTGCTAGAGAGATGGTTCTGCAGTGAAGAGTACATACTGTTCTTGCAGAGCACCCTACTTCAGATTCTAGTGACTACATGGGACAGCTTACAACGACCTGTAAATGCAGACTCAAGGGATCTCACACTCTTTTTTGGCTTCCTCAGGTGCCAGTGCACATGTGCACACTCAAAGACAAAAAATATAGACATATATACAGTTAAAAATTAAGATTTTTTAATGAATAAGAAGGAAGAAATCCTGCATGGCTGAAAAATGTTAGTCCTAGAAGCCATTATATATTTATTAATCAAATTCCAGTACCAGTTCTGAGATACATCCTTATGAGCTGATTTATCTGCGAGGACCACAAACCTCCATAGCAATGCAGTCTCTTACAATGCCTTTTGGTTGCCCCTTAAAAGTAAACAGTAAGACCCTGTTGCTGAACACATCACAAGCTTCTATTGGAAAATTAAACAAATAAAGTTGAAACTGAGTCAGAAGCTTCCACTGTGGTTTTCGTACTGCTAAATTCCTTCTGCTGATGATAGCAGGCACCAGTGGTCTTAACCCAGTTAAGCTATAAATTCTATGATCTACAAAGTGCATAGAAATCTTAACTATAAAATCCACTCAGTTTCTATCCATGCCATGCCAAATTGTCTGAAAATATAAATTCTTAGGTCTTTGACTTCTCAATAATCAATCCCTAAGTATTCAACCTGCATTCCACAGCCTTGAGATTTCTAAGAATTTCAGGAAGGGGGCAAATGTAAGGTTATTGAATAATTCTGTTCACATCCAAATTTCTGTATCTTCTTGTAGTATTTCTTGACTCTGTGATTCATCATTTTTTTCATATTTGAACAATTTTTTTTACTTTATTTTCTGCAGCTCTACTAGCACAAAGCTGTCAGTTTTAGGAAGATTTTTTATGAAGTGTGGATGATAAAGCAGTCATGATTACATGTAACCTACAATATAAAGCTTGGTACTGGAAATTAGATATTACTCTTTTTAAAGCCTCCAGGAATAACTCATATCAGGAATCCATTCTCTTTTTCTTTCTTTGCTGCTGTTTCTTGTTCCTTTGTGTTTAAGCCTCCTCATGAGGAACTCTGTTGTCATCTGGAACATTCTACTTCCTTTATTTTATTCTTTCAAACTTTCCGTTTTCTCCATTCCCTCCAGAGTATCAAATGAAATATAATTTGATTAATGTCTCTAATACCTAAAAGTAATGTTTCCATAACTAAAAGCTTTATCGCCCCCTGATGTAAGTTACCCTTCTCTTTAGTTTGGAAGTGCTGTGACCATTTGCTTTTCTTCATTTTTCAGCCTGTTAAGTTGATATATTATTACCACATAGGAATTTTAAGACAGTACACTATGATAATAATAGCAACATGCTTGGAGTAGGTTTATGCATTTTCAAATGCACTCTGAAGTGAGGACCAGAAATATAGGTTAAGCAAGGAACAGTACATGACTACTGTGCTTCTCAAATCTGTTTTTTATCTGTCTCAATCAGTGAAAAATTGGATGCAAGCAAATCATCCTTACAGAAATATCAGTAATGGTTGAATCTACAGTCACTTTCTTGAAATTTGCTTCTTTCTCAAGTCTTTCCCTCCAGCCTTAGAATTTTGTTTTCTACTTTAGGACTCACCTCACTGATTCCATGAAGGAAGTGTTTCACCATAGGAGCATTCTGGGTTTTAGTCTTTACAGTTACAAGATTACAATACATACATACATATATGTAAAATGGGAATTATGGTGATATTTTATTTGTGCTGAAATGTGATTTTATTTGTATATTAATAAATAAAATTGCCTGGGGATCAGAGCTAAGAGCAAGCCATTTAGCAGAAGTCCAGCGGTGGTAGCACACACCTTTAATCCTGATCATTTGGCAGGCAGAGTCTTTGCGTGGTCAAGGACACAGCCATGTGGTGACCCTAACCTTTAATCCCAGTTCAAACCATAGAGACCTGAAGGTCTGTATAGACAGGCAGTGACAAGGAAATCATGTGGTTGCGTTTAGAGCCAATGAGAAGGTAGAACAGAAAGGCAATAAAAAGGTCACACAGAAGAAGGTCTCTCTCAGGAAGAGACAGCAATGACTGGTAAGGTAAAGATAGTCTTGGGCTTTGCTAGTGCTCTGATCTCTTATGCTTTGACTCTGTATTTGGCTCTGCATTTTTTATTTACTAAGACCATTTAGAATTTCATCTGCAGGGAACAATTGGCAATCACATATTATAGATTAACTTTATTGTTCAAATATCAGTTCTCTCCTCCTCTAACACATATATGCATTGTGTATGTATATTAAAACTGAAACAGATTCATGACCAGATTTTTTTTTTTATTTTTAGATGCTGTAAACACCTCACATTAAAAGAGAAAATTATCACAAGGTGAACTTGCATACATTTTAGGAAGGTGATGTAGACTTTAATGAAGTCAGCAAATTGAAATAGGAAACATTGAAAATTGCACATCTGGATATGTTCTCTAGTTTAAAATTAAAAGGACCACTGGCAAGAGCAGTGACAAAGTGCTTGAAATAGTGAATGATTTAAATATCAAGTGATAATGAGAGGCCTGGGAAAAACCTGATAAAGTACTTAATTACTTTTTTTTGGCCTCATGTATTTATGATGTCATTTTTTCAGCCAGACATTAAATGATGACTATCATATGAATGCACACTAGAGCATTAAAATGACCATTATGCATGTAAAATATTTACAATTGAATCATTTCTAATCAATCCTAGGTTTAGTATATAGTACAAAGCAAAAAAAGTACTGGGAAACAGTATTTAGCTACCAAGCTAACACTTGCTCACAATAATATAGAGAAGAATGGCAAAATACACAATGAAGAGTGTGAGGAAGAGAAGATTAGCTAGGATTTATACTCATTAGACTTCAAACTGTTTTGATTACTACATGACATTTACAGTTTAAGTCATTGCTTCTTTCACGGGGATGCCTTTTTTGGAAAGGATACAATTCTACCCCTAAGTAGATATATTAGAATTTTAAGACTGTTACCTCAACAATGCTAACTTTCAATGATACCAAGTTTGTTAAGAGAGTTGTTATATGGAAACTTCTAGACACAGTGCCTAAATCATAGTAAGACCTCAACATTTTAGTTCATTTAGTTAAATTGTAAAATGTTTGGTTTTCAGCTGACTTGTTCTCTGTAAGAAATAGATTGAAAGCATGCCAATTTGAAGTTCTCAGATATTTAGGGGGGGAGCCAATCAGTCCTCTGCTTTTCTCATTTCTCTACATCTCTCTGTCAATCTGAAGTAAGAGAATCTTTTTTAAAATAAATTTATTCATTTTACATTCTGGTCTCAGTTTCTCCTCCCTTCTTTCCTCCCAGTTGCCCCACCATCACCCCTCTGCTCCCCCCATCCACTTCTCCATTTCTATTCAGAAAAGCACAAGCCTCCCATGAATATCAACAAAACATGACATATTAAGTTGTAGTATGACTAAGAACTTGGCCTTTTATTAAGGCTGGACAAGGCAGCCCAGTATGATGAATAGGGTCCTAAAAGCCAGAAAAAGAGTGAGAGACAGCCCCTACTCCCACTGTTAGGAGTCTCACAAGACCAAGCTGCACAACTATAACATACATGAAGTGGGCCTAGGTCAGCCCCATGCAGGTTCCCTGGTTGTCAGTTCAGTGTCTGTGAGCCCCTATGAGCCCAGGTTAGTTGATTCTGTGAAGTGTCTTGTAGTATCCTTTACCCTTCTGGATCCTACAAACCTTTCTCCCCCTCTTATGCAAGATTCCCCAAGTTCCACCTAATGTTTGGCTGTGGGTCTGCATCTGTTTCCACCAGTTCCTGAATGAAGCCTCTCTGGTGACAATTGGGCTAGGTACCAAACTGGTATATACAGGAGATATACCTGCCTGATCATTCATCATTTCTGTTCAACTTTGGTCTCAAATTTCTTTTGTATGTGTGATTGTGTGTACTATAGCCAGTTAGAATAATTTATATGTACCTTTCTGTATTGTGTTTATTTTACATGGCAGTTTCATTTTAATACAACATTTATTTAAACCATCACTTAGGCAAACAAATATCTATTTGTAAACTGAAGCATTTACTCAAAAGTAATGCAATAAGGATTTCTTGAAAAACATTCAGCTCCGGAGAACAGAATTGAAAGAGGAGAATTAAGAAATACAGAAAAACTATTCAAAGCAGCAATATAATAATTTACTGTCATATATTTATTTGGCTTTTTACAGAAGCCATAACATACTTGCCCAGTTCAAGATAGTTGGTGTTACAAACCAGCATTGCTGCAAGAGTGCTGAATTTGTTATTAAAAAAAAATCTGAAAGTGTTGCTTTAAGTCATAGATAATACACAAGTTATGTACTTACTAAAAATTACAGCCTGGTCAGAAATGACCTTCTGCTGAAAGTTGCTGCACTTGATATGACTACCTAGCTATTAACATGTGCGGGCTGCATTGAACTAAATTATCACTACCTGACATCATTGTGGATGGAGTTGATTGTGTTCAGAAGAGGCATTTCTATGGAATTCATACTTCTCAAAACTGCTGACAAAATCAACATCTCACATCATTGAAAAACTTATGAGATTGCTCTGTGACAAGCTTTGATTGGTGAGCCCATTTATTTAATGTATGTCCTTTGGTCAATGGGTTTCTTTTGAAATTATGGAGCTATATCTGCTCCTAGTTATTCTTAATAATGCTATGTTGGAGTCATTTTTTCACTTAGATGGAGGAAAACTGATCTTATGAAGCTGCTCAGCCAAATTATTTCGGCTAGAAATATAAAATTCCATGTCTTTAATATCTACAATGATTCAATCCCCCACCTACCACTTCTGTTTAGTCTGGACAAACTAGAAATGCTGATGCCATTTTTTCTGCCTGTGCAGTGTGTAAGCACAACTGAAAACTTTTTTTCATTTTCCCTTGGTACCTACCCATCCTGAACTTAATGATAAAGAGTATTTTGATAACCAAACTGGTCCTCCCAAGCATCTGTTCCTTCACAGATACCATAGTCTCCATGTCACCCTGTAATGCTGGTGAAGACATGCAATCACATCTAAGGCATCGCAGTCCTTGTCTTTGAGTCTTTTCTCATGCTCCAGGCATCTGGTGAAGCACACCAGGTTGGCTAATGCTCTGAACTGATAAAGCAAACTCTTCCCCCTCCTTTTCTCTTCTCCAGTCTTTGGCCTGAAAACAAAGGGAGGTTTCCACAGCCCTCCAACACTGTTAAAAGTTCCTGAATCCCATCAGTACATGGAGTGGGCTTTAGCATGGTAGTGACCAACCAACCCTCCTATGTATCATCGAGTCTCTATGATTACTGACCACCAGAAATGCAGAAGTTGGTTCCTAATGCTAAATGCGGACTAAGTAAGGAAGTCCACTACCACCTGGGTGGTTTATTTACAGTTATAATGAATCACTGTTTCATGATAGCAAAAGAGACATCACACATGAGTAGGAGACCAATCAAAATAATTAATTCATAGTTTTTCTATTATTTAAAAAATACCTTTATTATCTTCACAATTTCCATACAGTTTTTGCAAAACATCTCACAAATTAGTGAATGAATTTGCTAGAGTGTGTCCTGTTGATGAAGCTGAACTTCCAACCATTAGTGTATCAATACTGACTAATGTTTTATTACTTTTCTCTCTTGTGCTCTGATACAAAGGAAATAATTTTATTTAAATTATTAGATATAATCCTATGAGTAGTCATTGTTCTCTCTCAAACTTTCAAAAATAAATGATAAAGTAGTTTTAAAAGATAATGAGTTTATGGAAGCCAATATCAGAAAGAATGGGCATAAATTGAGTAAATGGTACCCAATTCCATTCATTTTCACCACAATTTACCCGAGGACATGCCTCAAACTCTTAAATGTAGTTTAGCAAATTAACCAGTGTTAGCTGTGTGAATTTGAATAGCTCAGAGAGAGCAGAGAAGTTGAAATAATCAAAACTAGCCACACAGAAGTCACAATCATAGACAGACAGAGAGGGATAGAGCTAGGAAATAGGTTTATAATCTTCATCCAAATCTTTGTTTCTTCCATGAAATTTACATGTAGGAAGATGTCAGGATATCTAGTGATGTCAGCAACTAACATCTTTTAGAGCTGAACAGTAGCTTTTGCTTTGTTTCACTACATGAAACAGGCTTAGAAAAAAATACCAAACAAAACAACTATCTGAAAGAGAAATTAAGGTTTTTCACAGTAACATAAAACAAGGGTATCTACAAAATGCTGTTCAGAAATAGAACATTAAGAGAAACCACCAGACACAAAAAAAGAAAGAAAAGAGAGTGAAATAGGAATACAGAATTTATAGTCAAGGAAAAAAATGTCTACAGAAAACAGAGCCCAAGATGACATAGATCCCATTAGATTAGATTAACATGACCTACTTAAAATATACATATATATATTTATATATATTTACATATATTTAAAATACACACACACACACACACATATATATATATATATATATATATATATATATATATATATGAGCCTGTGTGTAAATACATTCATATTGCTGTAATATACAAGGAGTTTCTGAGGAGCAGCCTACTATAAATCTAAAAGTAATGGAAATTATAGAAATTATTTAAAATTATATTCACTGATTGGAGCTAACAGCGTGCTTACAGTACAAAAATGATTTTCAATGAGCTTGAAGGTTGCAGTAAAATTTACCTACATTCAAGAGCAGAGACTCACAGAAATATTTGACTAGCTCATATGTTTAAACTTTATAGTAAATTTGGTATTTCATATGCATCTACAAATAAAAAACGGCCAAGTGCCTGCCAATTCCAAGAACTACATAGAACAATTAACCTAAATGTTTAAGTTTATTTGGATTTCTAAATATTGTTGTGTTTCAATGTTCATTTGTTTTTCTGTATTTTGAAAGATTTTTGTTAATTTATTTAGAAAATTGTAATATTTTTATGTTTTGTCTCATTATCTTTTCCTACTCCATGGATTCTTTGTCTTTGTCTCTTGACAAGGTTCACAGACGTCTTGACTTGGCTCTTTTTTTTTTCTTCACATATGTCTAATTGTCTTTCCATCAATGAAATTTGTTTGCCTGACATTATCAACTGCTAATGCCATGTGCTATGTCTGATTGGTTCACTCTTTCTACCATTTCTTTGGTCCTTTTTCAATCTCAATTTCCTCACTGCCTTGATCCTCCTTGTTTTTGAATTTCTCCTTCAAGTTGCTGACTATTGCGCCAAGTTCAACAATATTCTTCTGATATTCAGGTTTCTGTTACCAATGCAGTGGCTGGTGGTGGTGCTTTCTCAGGATACTTATCTCCATCTCCCCCTTGCATTATCTCAGCTTCTGGTTCTCACAACATATTTCTTGTCTCTTCATCCATGTCTCTGGGTATAGTATATATAGCCTCTGGTCAGAGCTCATCAATCCAGTCGTATTCTCCGGTTCACTATTCTCACAATGCCCAGATTAGAAAAGAAGATCATTTCCTTGGCAATGACTCCTGATGCAAACCCTTACAAAACTCATGAGTGCAGGATGATGGCACTCATTTGTAGAAAACATTTCATCTAGGCTACTTTGCTTTCTTCTTTTTTAAACTCTTTTCCATACAGGAGTTGAGTCTGTTGGTTTTTGTTCTCATTCACAGGCCACACAGAAATAGCCTCTAATCTGCCTTCAAATGCAAAAATATCAGGTACTGGCTATTTTTCAAAAAGATATAATAACTTTGAAGAAAATTAGTAACTTGTATTAATAAATTGAAAAGTAGACCCATAAGAATTTCTATAGATATTGAGGTGGGTTCCTTCATGGAATTGAAATTCAGGACTGATCATGGTTGCTTTCTCATAACCCTTGAGTATTTTAAGAAGTGTAAAAGATTCTCTGGATAGAACAGATTTTGAGACAATAGGCAACTTGTATCAAATGGCAGAATTCAGATAGAGAATTGATAATTCCTATGAAAATTATAAACTTCCCATCCATTAGTGATTTGTTTTTTTATAAATGATTTTTATTAGTAAGCATTCTGAATATTTATAATATACCCTTTGACCTTAGCTAAGGTGTTAACCCACTTATATAGCATAATGAAAATAAAAATTGCTAGAGTTCTTAGTTTTTGATTGTCTTCATGAGAATAAACTATGTACTTTCTAGAGGAAAAACACCACAAAATGAAAATTAAATAAAAAATATGAAGGTAGGCTATATTACATTATTTTTGTCTTAACAATCATATATTAGTGAACTCTTTATGATTACTTTAAAAATCGCTAAACCAAAATTATTACAAAATTTAATTTTTCATTTGTTGAAAAAAATGTGTTTGTTTGTTTGTTTGTTTTTCGACACAGGGTTTCTCAGTGTAGCTTTGCGCCTTTCCTGGCACTCACTTGGTAGCCCAGGCTGGCCTCGAACTCACAGAGATCCACCTGCCTCTGCCTCCCGGGTGCTGGGATTAAAGGCGTGCGCCGCCGCCGCCGCCGCCGCCGCCGCCGCCACCGCCACCACCACCACCACCGCCACCCGGCCATTTGTTGAAATTTTTTGTTAAGTTAGTTGTACATGCTACTTGCTGTTCATGCTAACATATGTGTGTATGTTTGTAATATATATACATATATATATACACACAAATAAGGTTACACTAGATATTCAAGACTCTCAAATTATCATGATCTCAAACTAGATGAGCATAGGCTACATTTTAAAATAAAAGTCACCAGATTTCAGATTATATCATGGCTGAGTTTAAATTCAAAGCAAACAGTTGGTTTTTGCACACTGAGCATAGGAAGATTAAGTTCACTCTTTTAATTATTAAGCTACACAGCCGCTTATCCAGTTCATTAATTCTATGCCCACTAGGTAGATGGTAGGGATAGCACAATGGAAAACATGTCCCTCCTAGAGACACCATCCCTTTCAAAGCTTCTCAGATATAATTAATTTAAGGCAACCATCACTTACTCTGTGTACTAAGAATCCACTGCAAATTCTAAAACACCAAGCTCAACTATCTTCAAAATTAAGAACTATTATTAAAATGTTTTAACATACCTAATTGTGGTAGCCCAGGCCTTTGGTAGCCTTTGGTAGCCCAACCCTGCAGAAAGGGGCAGGCCTCCCATCTGTACAGACACTGAGACAATAAATAAATGGGACCTCCTGAAACTGAGAAGCTTCTGTAAGGCAAAGGACACTGCCAATAAGACAAAACAGCAACCTACAGAATGCGAAAAGATCTTTACCAATCCTACATCTGACAGAGGGCTGATTTCCAAAATATATAAAGAACTCAAGAGACTAGACATTAAAATAGCAAATAATCCAATTAAAAAATGGGGTGCGTATCTAAACAATTCTCAGCAGAAGAATCTCAAATGGCCAAAGACATTTAAGGAAGTGTTTAACATCTTTAATCATCAGGAAAATGCAAATCAAAACAACTCTGAGATACCATCTTATACCCATCAAAATGTCTAAGATCAAAAACATTGATGGCCGGTTGTGGTGGCATGCACCGGTAGGATTTGCTGAAGGAGGCAGAGGCAGGAGGATCTTGAGTTCGAGGCCAGCCTGGACTACACATTTTGGCCGGGCGGTGGTGGCTCACGCCTTTAATCCCAGCAGTCGGGAGGCAGAGCCAGGCGGATCTCTGTGAGTTCAAGGCCAGCCTTGGCTACCAAGTGAGTTCCAGGAAAGGCGCAAAGCTACACAGAGAGACCCTGTCTCGAAAAAACAAAAACAAAAACAACAACAACAAAAAATTGATGTCAGCTTATGTTGGAGAGGATGTGGAGTAAGGGGAACACTCTTCTATTGCTGGTAAAAATGCAATCTTGTACAGCCACTCTCAAAATCAGTATGGTGGTATCTCAAAAAATATGGAATCAACCTACCTAAAGACCCAGCAATACCACTCTTGGGCATATACCTAAAAGATGCTCAACCACACCACAAGGACATAGGCTCAACTATGTTCGTGGCAGCATTATTTATAATAGCCAGAACCTGGAAACAACCTAGATTCCATTCAACCAAAGAATGGATAAAGAAAATGTGCTACTTTTATACAATGGAATATTACACAGTGGGAAAAAAGTGTCACCATGAAATTTGTAGGGAAATGGATGGAACTAAAAAAAAAAAAAATCATCCCGAATGAGGTAACCCAGACCAAGAAAGACAAACACAGTATGTACTCACTTGCAAGTGAATAGTAGATGCAAAGCAAAGGATAACCAGGCTACAATCCAAAACCCCAGAGAAGCTAGGTAAAAGGGAAGACCCTAAGAGGGACACACATTGATTGCCCCAGGAAGGGAAAGGGGTTAATATCTCCTGGATAAACTGGGAGGGGGGAGTAGAAGGGGGGCAGAAGGTGGGAACATAAGGGTGCCAGATGGCCAAGTTGGAGGAGGGATGAAGAAAGAGTGCAATAGAGATTTTTTTTTTTTTTTTTTTTTTTGGTTTTTTGAGATAGGGTTTCTCTGTGTAGCTTTGTGCCTTTCCTGGAACTCGCTCTGTAGACTAGGCTGGCCTTAAACTCACAGAGATCCACCTGGCTCTGCCTCCCAGTGCTGGGATTAAAGACGTGAGCCACCACTGCCCGGCTTGAAAGAGATATCTTGACAGAGTGAACCATTAAGGGTTTAGGGAGAAATCTGGAGCTAGGGAAATCCCCAGAAACTTACAACGATGTCTCCAGCTAAGATTCATAGCAATGGTGAAGAGGGTACTTGAACTAGCCTTCTCCTGACTCAGATTGGTGTCTGCCATACTTGTCATCATAGACCCTACATCCAGTAACTGATGGAAGCAGATGCAGAGACCCACAAGCCAAGCACATGACAAAGCATCTGGAATTCAGTTGTAGAAAGGGAGAAGGGATTATAGGAGCAAGGGCAGGTGAGGATCACGATGGGGGGAAGAAAAACACAGAGACAGCTGACCCAAGCTGTCTTGTGGACTCTGGACAGACAGCTGGTGAGCCTTCATGGGATCCCACTAGGCCCTCTGAATGTGGGTGACAGTTGCAAGGCTTGATATGTTTTTAGGTCTCCTGGAAATGGGACCAGGACTTACCCTGGGTACTTGAATTGGCTTTTTAGAGCCCATTCTCTATGGTGTGATGCCTTACTTAGCCTTGATGCACGGGGGAGGAGCTTAGTTCTGCCCCAACTTGGTATGCCAGCCTATGTTAACTAAGGAAGGGAGGCCTTACCCTCTATGAGGAGGAGATGGGGTTGGGATTGGGGAGAGCTTGGGGGGAGCAGGAGAAGAGGAAGGAGGGAGAACAATGGTTGGTATGTAAAATGGAAAAAAAATTAAATAAAAAATTGAAAAAAATCCCCATCTGATTGGTGGATAGAGCCATGCACATTATTGTTTTATAATTTAGCAAAACAGTGAGTCTGCCTTAGCTGAAGAAATTTCAGCTTAACTTAATTTTGGTAATGTATATCATTTATGTCTCCAATTTCCAGGGCAGACCTGACCATAGTGTTTCCAGAAACTAAGTATTTAAGTGGTCATTTGTCCATTGATTCTTTATTATTACTTTTTTTTTTTACTGAGAAAGTTTTGCCAAATTATACTTTATTTCATTTTGATGTGAAGGAGAAATGAATTGTGTGTTGGATAACCTATAGAAATTGATTATTTGGGTTATTGTCTAGAATCAAATGCATAGAATTTTTAAGATCTTTTTAACTAAATGACTTCAGTTCACTTGCAAGTACTTAATTATATAAAGCAATCTCACCTTATTCTTTATTAGCAATGTATGAATTAAGTTATGGGCACTTCTTGTGTGTGATTTCTCTATTAGACAATGAAAACTACATATGTTTAATCTAAACCAAGTAGACCAATGTCTTGATTACTGAAAAACTTTAGCTGTTAAAAATGTTTTGAAACATGTTATTTAATTGATTTTTTATTCTTTGCTCCTATATTACACCATGACCACAGTTTTCCCACCCTCATTTCCTCAGAGTCCCTTACCCTACCCCCATTACCTAGATCTACTTCCCTTTACCTCCCCCCAGAAAAGGGCAACCCTCCCAGGGATATCAATCAAACATGGTGTATCAAGTTGCAATATGAGAGGATGTACCTAGTCTAACTGAATTTTGAGAGAGGATCTTGCTGTATAACAAAAGAAGGTAGAGAGTTTCTAATATTTCTATCTCATCAGAGTTAATGTAATCACAGATATGGGCTACCACATGGTATATGCCAGCTTAATGTATTCCATTTACCTAACCAAAAATAGACTGGTTTGTAACATGAATCTTAAAGGGTCTTATTAATAAAAAATTCGAGAGCCAGATATTGGGGTGAACGCTGAAAGAGCAGAGCAACAGAACAAGCCACATCCAACTTCACTTTGCCAGTTCCTCAGCTGATCTTGTTTCCTCAAACTGAAAGCCTCTGAGTCCTCATCTGAATGGATCTCAGCTGAACTGCTGCTAAAAGCTAAAAGCTTAAAAGATTCTAGTTTCTTGTCCTCACATGTTGCATACCTTTCTGCTTCCTGCCATCACTTTCTGGGACTAAAGGCATGGGTTACCATGCCTAGCTGTTTCCAGTGTGACTTTGCACTCAGAGAGATCCAGACGGATCTCTGCCTCTGGGATGCTAAGATTAAAGACGCATGCTACCACTGCTTAAACCTATGTTTAATATAGTGGCTGTTCTGTTCTCTGACCCCAAGATAAGCTTATTGGGGTATACAATATCAACTACACTGGTTCATTATTTAAGACCTCTGACTACTCTTCTGGAGAACAGAGGTCAGATTCTCAGCACCCATCCACATGGTTTCTCATAGCCATCTATAACTTCAGTTGCAGGGGAAGCTGATGTCCCTTTATGGCTTCTGCAGGCAATGCATGTACATGATGCACAGACATACATACACCTCTAAACTTCAAATAAAAATAAAATACTTTCTCATGTGTCAGAACACAGTCCAAGAATGAAGTTGTGTGGGGAGAATTCTAATTACCTGGGAGAAAACTTGTAGAAAATAGGACAAGAGTCTTGGGACTTCAAAGCATAGGATTGTTCTAAGAATGTCCTTTCATGCCCATCCCAGGTGTATCAGATAGAAGTAGGTGTGCTCCAGATTATCTACTGAAGTTTATTACTGTTATCCAGCCACATACGGCTTGTCCTTTGGATTGTATACACTTTGAACTCATGTAAACCTTGCTCATGTGACCTTACTTAACCCTCAGATGATCTAAATAAAGTGGCCATTGCATGAGACTTTAGTCTGCCCCATTCATAGCCCCCATTCTCCCAGGTCCCACTGCCTGGAGCAGTGACACCCAAGTTTATCAGTTTTTTTCTAATATTTCAATCAAAATTTAGTTATTAAATTAAAATAAATGTTCTGTAATGATGACTTCACAGATTTACAACAAATAAGATGTCCCTGACAGAAGACTTAATGATAATTTATCTAGAAGAGTTCTGAGAAACTTGACAGACTGTCTGGAACCGGCAGTACTAACAGATACATACTGTAGAGACTTTACAGGAGAGGGTAAGAGCAGTGAATCTACAGGACTAAATCTGAATTCTTTATAGAGATAGCTCTGATTGGGGTGGGGGTGGCTCCTGTAAATCAAGCTGTTTTCCCCCAAAGTTATTATCAAATCCAAGCTCACTTATCTTAAAACCTAGAGTTCTTACTGAAAAGTCCAGAGATGAAATTAAATCGGTCATGATTAATACAATTTCCCTACAGCATCATCATGAGCTTTTCCTTCCCTTCCTTTGAGTGTGTGTAGTACAATATGAACTTTTACAGAGGCATATGTAAGAAGACATGTTTACACAAGCATACATCAGATGTGGGGTAATGGGTCTGGGTAGAATAGATACTGCACAAGCATGAGGCTCAGAATTCATACCCCAGCACCCACATAAATTTGTGCCTGTATGGGGTCTTTCTGTACTCCCAGTGCTCAGGACTTGGAGACTGGCGAGATAGACTAGCAAATTAGAGAGCTCTGGGTTCAAGTGGGTGACTCTGTCTTAGGTGAGAATTTGAGAAAGATATCCCATATCAACCTTTCACATTCACACATATGTGTACTCACAAACATGTGCACAGAACATGCATACACATATAAAACATACACTATTATTAAAAAACCCAGGTATGAATCTATTCCCTAAACATATATGTAAATGTATATAAATTAGTAACCAGGAATCACAAACTGTAAAAAAGTAATATAGGTATGCACAAAATTTTTCCTCTTTATTTTCCTTTCTATTTTATCAGAGATCTTAGAACCTATTTGGAATCAAATAGGAACTATTTCATATTTGGGTATAATAGACAAAATATAGAATGGAGATGGATAGAAGGTGGTGCCCCTTCTAAAGATAACTTTGGAGTCCCTTCTTCATGATGAAAGCTTTTTATGCTTTTAATGATAGTTCTGGGCTTCACTAATGTATTATCAGATGCTGGAAGTATTTTAACAGATATTTAATTTTGACAGATAAATTATATTTGAGTTCTAAAAACTTTTGGGACTTTAGTCTATTATTAGAAAAATGTATTCATATTTTTATTTCATGATTCTCAAATTATAATGGATTCCTTACTCTTCAGAAAGCCATCCAATTATTGTTTAAATTTCAAAGACAGTTTGTAACATTTTGATTTAGGTTCAAGGTAGACATATGCAATTGGGTTATTTTAAAAGACATTTAGAAATAACCATTTAGTATATTTTTCCTTTCTTTTATTAAAAAGATAGACATGTGTAGTAGGACAGGCCCATAGGGTCAAGGAAGTGGTTCAAACTAGTTGCCAGGGCATGAACATAACATACTCCTTAAGAGCCAACCTGGAGTCGGCCTGAAAGCCTAGCAACAGGAGCTGTTGGAGTTCCCGATTGCTGTTAGAGTTCCTAGTCCCTGTCAAAGTTCCTGATTGTGCCAAGTCTGCCTGAGGACCTGGCAACAGTTGCTGTCAGTGTTCCTGATTAATGTCAGAGTTCCTGATTGTGCATAGCTAATGAAGGATGACCACATAGACTGGGTGCTGGAAGGAGGGTATATGAAGCCTTCCCTGTTATTGAATAAATGAGTTCATTATTTCTTTTCAATGGACTCCCAGTGTCTGTGTCATTGGTGCCACACCTTCTTACCCCCTCCTCTGAGGGAGCCGTTAGAATCCAAGCAACATACATGAATTTTTAAATTTTTGGAAGTACACTCAAATACAGATTTAATTTAATTTAATTCAAACATATTAAATAGCAACCAAAATCCTTCATAGAGATAAACCATGTGATAATTGTTTAAGGAAGAATTACTTTTGAATTGAAGAAACAGCAAATGAATTCTATAATTACTATATTTTCCCTACTTAAAAATATTATCCTCTTTATATTATGCACATAATAAAATACATTACTTATTGAATGTTTAAATAATAATAATAGTCACCAAATATCTTCACTTTAAGGGAATACACAGAGCTCTGCAATGTTCAGTGTGTTTTAAGCTAAGCCAGTTTAAAAGTAATATTTGTTTAGTGCCTGAAGAGTCAAGACTTCTCAAATCCCTTTTCATACAAGGACAGACAGGGGATTCAAAGACGACTTTAGCTTCCAAAGTGTAAATCTGGGAGCATTTTGACAGAAGTACTGTAGTTCTGACCATAGTCCCTTCTGGATTCCTTGTTCCTGTGAGAAAAAAAAAAAAACAAAACCTCTTTTCTGTTTAACTGTTCAAAATTCATTTCCAGGATGCATCTGCTGTATTGCACTCTGTCTGAAAATATATGTGCACAAACTTGATTGACAGTCTCCTGGTTATCACGCCATGATAGTGGAAATCATAAAGGTGACAGCTCTAATTCACTTTCAGCCAAAATCTACACAACCTAATTTTATAATATTTATCCTTAAACCTCAGCTCATAGTCCCAAGAAGAAAACAAATAATGTAGGTGTGGTGGTTTGAATGAGAATAGTCTCCATCGGCTCATATATATTCATTTTGAAGGTTTGGTCCCTAGTTAGTGGAACTGATTGGCAAAGAACTGTGAGATGTTTGGTTGGAGGACATGTATGACTGGATGTGGGCTTGGAGGTTTCAAAAGCCCATGCCATTTCCAGTTAATATGTTCTCCCTCTCTCTCTGTCTCTGTCTCTGTCTCTGTCTCTCTCTCCATCATGTTTGTGTATCAGACACACGCTCTCAGCTGTTGTTCCAACACCATGCTTGCCTGCCGGCTGACATGCTTCTCCACCATGTTGTTCATGGACTCAGCCTCTGGAATGGTGAGCCTCCAATAAACACTTTCTTCTGTACATGGATTTGGTCATTGCATCTCTTCACAGCAATGTAAAAGCAATTAAGACAGGGAGTATATATAGAACTAATGGAAGTCTATGTAGAAATAAATATAAATAGCAAAGTGGAAACTATGAGCTACCTGCTTTCCTGAGAAGATAAATCATACTTAGTAAGCTAATTCCTCAAAGATGACTTGTTTCATTTATCAAAGCATTACTTGTTCCAGTAGAAAACCTTACATGAAATGTTTTGGTTTGAGTTAAAAATTAGTATGGTAGGGGGGCTGGAGAGATGGCTCAGAGGTTAAGAACACTGACTGCTCTTCCAGAGGTCCTGAGTTCAATTCCCAGCAACCACATGGTGGCTCACAACCATCTATAACGAGATCTGGTGCCCTCTTCTGGCCTGCAATCATACATGCTGTACACATAATAAATAAATAAATCTT